GAATTCACATTTTAAAAATATTTTGTCTTGCCCTGACAGGGGTGACTCCATGGTTAGAGAGTTGGTCAATTCCTGCTCAAGGGCACATGCCTGGGCTGTGGGTTCACTCTCTACCCCTAGTCCGAGTGGGTGCAGAAGGCAACCAGTCACATCAGTGTCTCTCTCTCCTTCTCTCTCTCTTTTCCCCTCTCTCCCTCCCTTCCACTCTCTCTGAAAAGTAGTGGAAAAAGTATCCTCAGTTGAGGATTAACAACAAAATTTGACTTGCAATCCACACATATGGAATATCTTTATATTTAGATCTTTTTAAGTGTCTCCTAATACAAGTTTATCATTTTCATCAAAGAAGTCCTGCACATCTGTCTCCTTAAATTTATTTTTTGATCATTTTCATGCCATTTATATTAACTTTATCAAAATTTCATTTTCTAGCAGTATTGATGTATTTGTAGAAATGTGATTAACTTTTAAATTCATTTTGTCTCTAGCAAATTTGCTAAACGATCTTTTAATTATAATAATTTATCTGTGGATTCCTCGTCATTCTCTATGTACATATCATGTATCAATTCCTGTCCTTGTACCTCTCGCTTCCACTTCCTGCCTAAATGCACTCACTAAAATCTATAGCATAATACTGAGGAGAAATGATGATTATGGCTACCCAGGTGTCATTGTGTCATTTCACTCTCAAACAAAAAGTATTAAACATTTCACCATTAAGAATAATCATTGCTGTGGCACTTTTGTGGATAATCTTTACCATATTAAAGACATTCTTTCTAGATTATTTTTAAAAGAATAAAGGTGAATTTTAGCAACTGCTTTTTTGTTTTGCTTCAATTAAATAATCACATGGTGTTTCTTCTTTCCTCAGTCAATGTGATGTGTTATAGCAACTGAGTGTGAAATGAAAGGTCACCTAAACCTAGAGTGAACCCACATTTGTCATGACATAATATCTTCTTGCTAATTAACTGATTTGGTTTGTACCAATATTCAAATAATAGTGGCCTGTAATGTTTCCTTCCCATATTGTCTTCATTGGGCTCAGCATAGAGGTTTTGCTAGTCTCATAAAGGAGACGGGTAACATCTACTGTCCAGAAAAAATTCTATAGCATTCTTTGAATATTTTGTAGAGACTTCCAGTAAAGCCATATGAGCTTCTGGCTGTCCTTGGTGAAATGTTTTTGATAACTGAATTAATTGATTTCATCTTTATGAGAAAATTCAAAGTTCTGGAATATGGTTCATCAGTTATATTTTTTAGCAATTTATCCATTTCATGTCACCTTTCAAAATTATTGGCTTTCTAATACTTATAAGACAGCATAGATAAAGTTTATATATAAAACATATATCCATATATTTCCCAGGTACAAACCCTTTTTCAGTTGTTGCAAATACCTTCGGCCCCTCTGTGGCTTTACTTTTCACTATCTTTTTTTTTTTCTAATATATCTTTATTAATTTCAGAGAGAGGAAGAAAGAGAGAGAGAGACATCAATGATGAGAGAGTCATTGATCTGCTGCCTCCTGCACCCCCCAACTGGAGATCGAGCCCCCAACCCAGGCATGTGCCCTGGCCGGGACTCGAACCATGAACTCCTTGATCATTGGTCTATTCTCAACCACTGAGACACTCCTGGCCGGGCTCTTTTCACTATGTTAATAGAGTCTTTGATAATAAGAATTTCTGAATTTTTACGTAGATCAGTTTACCCATTTTTCCTTTATAATTATAAATGGTGTTTTTGTATGTCTCGTTTTAAAATTTTTTTTCCTACCTTACCTTTACAAAGAAATTCTCCTAACTTCTCTTTTAAATTTTTCCCTTTAAATTAATTAAATGGAGGAATAATGTTAAATAATAGGGTTTCATCTTTATACATGACCAACACATTTTACTATAAATTATTTTTATCATTATTAATCACTTTGACCTCACTTTTTATTTCCATTATTATTTTTGCTTTGACTCATGATATATTTAATAGTCTATTTCTTTAGTTTTACAAACAGAAGGGAGCAAACTGGGTCTTTCCCTCCAGCTGGGACTCAACCAGGACGCAGTTTTGCAAGAAAATCAAACAGCATGATCCAAAGCTCATGTAGTGCTGCAGTGTGGTGGACTCAGAGTCTAAACATAGATGAAGATTAAATACTAATCTTCTGTTAGTGATGATCATTACAGAAAAATGAAGAATTCAGAAACAGACCATAAGCTCAGATCAGCTGCAAAAACAGGAAGAAAAAAATGGCAAAGACCTTGGAACAGAATTCCAGTGACATCAAACCAATGAGCATAGACTTGTTGGTTGCTCATAAATCCAAGGCCTCCTCCACCGCATCCACAGGCAAGTGGAGGACCGTCCCCATCACCACTAGCTCTACCAGCACCACCTCTACTCACCAGAATTGCTTATATTTTGTTCTGCATTTCTAGTTTAAATTCATTGTACCCTACAACAAATGATGTATAATTTTATTCTTTGAACACTTTTTAAAACCTAATCTAGCCCGGCCAGGTGTGGCTCAGCGGTTGAGAGTCAACCTAGAATCCAGGTGATCGGGGTTCGATTCCCAGTCAGGGCACATGCCTGGTTGCAGGCTTGATCAATGGCTCTCTCATCATTGATGTTTCTCTCTCTCTCTCCCCCTCTCCTTTCCTCTCTCTGAAATCAATAAAGATATATTAAAAAAAAAAAAAAGTTAAAAAAAAACCCTAATCTATGATCAAATAATGGTTAATATTTTGTAAATATTCTATATGTGCTTGTAAAATATATAATCTTCATTTGTTGGGAAAGGTTTCATATCACTTTTTCATCAGCTATACATAACTTCAATATCATCACTAATCAATTTTTTAAATGTGTCTAAAAAAACTTCCCAAAAAACAATGAAGTTGTTTCTGCCTGTGTAGCCTTTACTCATTGTTACTATTGACAATTCTGCCTTTACTCACCATGCAGTTGAAAGTCCCCTTTCTTTCTCTAGCAATCTTTCTTTCTTAAGATTTCTGCCATTTCTTTATGACATTAATTTCTAAGCATGCATTTCTTGTTACTATTCCACTTGAGTTTTATTTACCTTTTTGAATATCTAATTGGATGTTTTTCATCACTCTTGAAAAAAACCTCAACGACCACCTCAATACCCCTTTCCCTATTCTTTCATTTTCCTTCCAGAACTCCAATTACACATATGTTCAACCTTCTAATTAGACTATTTTCTATATTTCTCTCATTGTGCCTCGCTATGCTTTATGTTTGACACCTTTTTCTGAGCTACTACACATCACAAGTTCTCTTTTCATCTTTGTCTAACCTCTTATTACTTGATCCACTATGACTTTAATTTTGCTTACTACATTTTTCTCTTTTAGAAGCTGTATTTAGTTCTTTCTCAAATGGTATGTCTCTTCTCAAATTCCATGTCCCCACAGCTCATTTAAGGCTTCTTTTACATCAACATACTTGTTTTGTTGTCTGTATCAGATTATTCCTATAATATTATCCCATGGTTTTTTAGTCATGGTCTCTTCTTTCTCTGTTTGTTTCTTGATCTTATTTACATTTGACAATATGCTTGTCATTATAATTGAAAAATAATTTTTAGGTGTGATTCAAATGTGGAATTAAGTGAACTTCCTCTAGATTTGCATCTGATTCTGCCAGTTAATTTGGCACACATCTATAACTATGAAAATGCACCTTTAAGGTCTTAGATTTCATGAAAAGTTCAAGTAATTCCAATCTTTCATGAAGTGCTTGGAAGGAGTAGCCCCTTACTCTTCTTTGTTACTTTGAGGGTACAGACTTTTCAGCTCCTGGCTTCCTGTGAGGAGGACTTTTTATTGGATCTAGTTGGGTGAATTTGGTCTTTGCTTACTTCCCCTCTAAATCTATATGGTCATCAAACCAGAAGCTCAAATCTTGTGGGTTCGGCAAATGCCCACAGAAAAATTGCTACCTAACTCTACAAGGTTGTAATGTTTTTCTGAGCATGCTCAGAATCTTTTACATCGTTTTAAGGGCCTCACACCCACTGAGTTACTCTGCAATATTCCATCTGGTCTCATTCTCAATGTTGAAGGAATAGTTTCAGTTCTTTGGATTTATGTATTATAGGTAGCACAGCAAAGACATACTTCCTTCTTAATAGCTCCAGTTCTGGGCAGAGAATGGGGATTTGGATCCTGGATGAAATATGATCTTATATGTTCTCAAGCCAGGCTCTGACAGCTGTCAACAAAATCAACTCATTAAGCCTTTACTGCAGACAGAGAACCTTCTGAGGCACAAAGGTTTTCACCATGAGTAGGAAGNGGCACAAAGGTTTTCACCTTGAGTAGGAAGCAGGCAAATAGAAGACTTCAACTGTGTCATAAGTTTTTCTGAGAGTTTCTCCAGGTCCAAGAGACCTAAGAAAGTTGCCATCAGTGGCACAGCCTTGTTCTTTCATTTTCCTTCTCTGCCAGTGGCCTCTGCCCACTCAGGAGAGAGAGCTACTCAATCTTCCTTGATAGCTTCTAGAGAGAGATGGGAGCAGCCAGGGTTTCAACAGGTGGCCAGGGCCCAAAGGGTAAGAACAGATAGGCTTCAATCCCAGAGGGGTAGGAAATGGAGGTAGTAGGCAGGTAGCAGCTTTTGTGCCTTGCTGGGATCGTATTGAATTGGGTGGGCTTAGGCTTCTGGGACACCATGCCCAAAGCCTGCCTCCTTGGTCCTGCTTCCCATTTCTGCTGAAAACATGACTCAGCAGCTGTGGGAGATCCTTTGTTGGTTGATTTTACTCTCTCTTCCCCCAGGTCGCTGGCAGTTTTGGTGGACAAACTTCCTGGCCAGCCAGGGGTGATGAAACCTATCACCCCAGTAGAAGAATGGGAATGGGAACTCTCAAGTCCCCACCCTGCCCTTCCTTCCTCTCTCAGGGGCTAAAACTGTGGCAGGAGGAAGCACCAGGAGCAACTGGCTGAGCAACATTCCTGAAAAGATGAAGCTACTCCTGGTCCTGGTGGCCTTTCTCTTACCCCCCAAGGCTGGGGCAGGTAAGTGACCATCCAAACCCTCAGAGGCTCAATCCCATCCCATAGCCTCTGGACCCAGACTGCCTAGGCATGTCCTAGCTCTGTGTCATTGGATAGCAGGCTATCTGAGTTCACATTCCCAGGTCCTTCATCTATAAGTAGGAATAATAGCAATACCTACCTCATAGAGCTGCTATGACAGTTACATTACTGAGTGTCCATGAACCTCTTAGCATGGCCCCTGGCATGTAAACATGCTCTGTAACTCTGCTCTATTCATTTTTCTGCAGCCCATCTGTCAAAGCCTAGGAGACAAGGATACAGCAATAACAGCCCCATCAGCTCACATCTAGATTCTTAGAAAACAGTCCTTGCTGCTGAGAAAGTCCCTGCTGAGTCCATGAGCTGGACTCAGAGGGATCAGGGAAGATCTTTGAAAAAGAAAGTACCAGGGAACTTTAGGCAGAAGCTACTCCACAGGGCTCTGGATCTCAACAGCAGAGATCTCTCCACATTGTGAGAGGCTTAAGCTGGCCTTGCCTGGAGCAAGGATTGTTCTCCTTTGGGAGATGTGGGAAGAAGCTAAGATCTGGGGTGGAGAGCCAGAAGCTGCAGAACGCTGGAGTCCTCTCCCATGATGCAGTACCCTGCAGACCCCAATTCTCACCACCAAACCCTCCTTTCCCATCTCTGTAGTTTCCCCATCTTCTAGCTTTTCTGGAGCCACCAAGCTAGTGCCCTCACTCCAGGTTCAGTGAGTGCAGAGATAAATGCTGAATACTTTCTTCCAGGGGAGATCATCGGGGGCCAAGAAGCCAGGCCCCATTCTCACCCTTACATGGCATATCTTCTCACCCGAACATCAAGGGGTCTGAGCACTTGTGGGGGCTTCCTGGTGCGAGAAGACTTTGTGATGACAGCAGCTCACTGCTGGGGAAGGTAAGAAATTAAGGGTCTTCTAGTGGCCAGTAGAGCAGGTTCAGAAGGGTTCATAAGTGCATGAGGCTGAAAGCCAAGTACTAGCAATGAAGGGGTGAAGAGAGACTGGATAAGCCCTGGGGGGCACAGAACAGGCTAGTGTAAATGAAAACAAAAGGAAGAGGTGGAAGGCATTCATTAGGGCTCGAAATATAAATTCAAGCTCTTTCTCAATTTATTCTAGGGGAAGCAAAACTTATGTTTGCTGTGTCCCTACCATCCCCAGCACAGGGCTTTGGAGAAGCAGAGGACACAGAGATCTCAGCCCCAGAGCCTTCCTGTCCCCTCACTTCCCCCAATTGCAGTTTTGCTGCCCTGGGCTCTCATCTGTCCTGCAAAGCTGGTGCACTTGAGTTCATAGGGCCTACCTCTAGCCCGCCATTCCTTTGCAGTCATCTTGGGAGCCCACAACATCAGGAGGCATGAAAGAACACAGCAGAGTATACTGGTGCTCAGAGCAATCCGCCACCCGAAATACAACGAGCAGAACCGCCTGAATGACATCATGTTACTGCAGGTACCACCTGCCTGACCCTCTGGTTCTCCATTTGAGCTGGCTCTGTCCCAGCATGGGGGTTTCACCTTGTCCTGGGACCTTGTTGGAGGAGGCAGGGGTAGTAGGATGAGTGCTGCACAGACATTCCCTGAGTGCCTGCTTTCTTCCTGCCAGCTGGAAAATAGAGCCCAGTGGAATCGATTTGTGAGGCCTGTGGCTCTGCCTCAGTCCCAGGCCCGGCTGCATCCTGGGTCCTTGTGCACTGTGGCTGGCTGGGGCCTGATCAGCCAGACCAGGAGAACAGACACACTTCAGGATGTGCAGCTGAGCGTGCAGAGGGATCAGGAATGTAGCAATTGCTTTGATACCTACAATGGCCAAAGACAGATTTGTGTAGGAGACCAAATCGAGGGGAAGGCCACCTTCCTGGTAAGCCCACAGGCATCTGCCTAAATGACCATATGTCTCCCAGGGCAAGACAGAAGGGTCTGGGTAGAATTAGGCAGTGCGAACAGACTACATCCCCATGACCTCAGTCTGGGGACCAGATCAGGGTAAAGTGGGGGCTTTTCCACTCAATCCAGTCTCTGAGGTAAGGGGAGGAGACCAACACACAACGCACACATATTCAGTGTTTTCATGGGAAAGGGAAAGGTACCTTGACTTGGGTTGAGCCAGAGACAACAACCACAGCCAGGGTTGAAGCTCAACCAATGAAAGATCAAGGAGGTTGACTTCTGCAACCCCACCACCTTTCCTCCTCTGCCCTTACCTTAGGGAACCAAGAATAGGGAGGTGTGAAGTGTGGAGGACTGGCTTAGTGTCCCTTCCTCTCATCACCCACAGGGGGACACCGGAGGGCCCCTTGTGTGCAACAATGTGGCACAGGGCATTGTCTCCTATGGAAGAAGATTCGCTGCTCCACCAACAGTCTTCACCAGGATTGCTCGCTTCCTGCCCTGGATAAATAGAACAATGAACCAATTTAACAGAAAGAGGATACCCTGAGACCTCTCCTCCTCACTATGATTGATTGTTCTCTGGGATGTAACCCAGCTCCAGTGGGGTTGTCAAACCCTTAATAAGTGTCTATGTCTAGAATGGAAATAACCAATTTCTCATGTTATTAAACTTCATTCTGTACAAAACAAATGTACCCATGACTGAGTCTGAGCTCTTCCAGGAAAATGGGGTCTTTTCTCCAAGACAAATGAACCTCCCACAGCCCATCCTAGAAGATATGATGAGCTACTTCCCTACTCCAAGCCATCCATTCCCCATCTCCCCTCCTCACATAATTTGGGGATTTATGGAAGGCCATAGTCTCCCAGGGCAAGGCACTCTACCCCACCTTACCAGAGACTTCCCCACCAGATATTAAAGTATACTCTAGAACTCTGTGTCACTGGTGTGTGTAGCATAGGCCAACCAAAGGAAAGAATGAACTTTCAATACATGGTGTTAAAACAACTAGATAGTTGGGGGCAGGGAGTCGGGGGGGAGTAATAAAATAGGATCCACTCCTCACACCATAATCCAAAATAACTCTCAAATGGATCAGAGATCTAAGTGTAAAAAATTTAACCATAAAAGCCCTAGAGAAAGGAAAAGATCTGCTTGCTTAAAAATAGCCAGTGAACACCCATATTCACAGCAATACTATTCCCATGGCCAATAGATGGAAGCAACCCAAGTGTCCACTGAGAGCCAGAGTCCTTCTCCCAAACCCCCATGCCAACCAACCCCCACTGCACTGTAGACCAATGTCCTTATTTTCAATATGACAGGGATCTGCTTCCTGTTTTCATACTCTAAAGTTATACCAAACTCAACCCAATGTTGACTAAAATAACATTACTTCTGTTCTAAAGATTAGCCCAAGACTGTCTATATCAATATTATATTCAAATAAAAGATTATTGAAGTTACATAACAAAATCTCGCTTTAAACACATTCTTAAGGTGACTGTACAGAATCAGCTGGGAGGTTCTTCTACGTCCATCAAAATGTCAGTTATTCCTGTAGTGTGGCGTTTACCATCTGAACCTTGCAGTTTAATTAAATGGAATTATCACTGACCATCTGTAAAATCCAACTGGCTATATACAGAAATGCTTTCATAAATTTGACCATTATTTTATAGGAATTTCTTATCAGAAAGTCATTTGCTTAATATTCAGTATAAGCTATTTATCAACAAAATTTTAATCAACATTGCATCTTTGACAATATAGTCATTCCCTCTATATTTACTACCACACGAATTCCATCACTTGCATGTCCTGGGGAATAACAGTCTCATTATTAAATGTTTGCATTGGCAAATGGAAAGAATACTTGATGATGGGGCTGGGATAAGAAAGGGTGGAAGAGCCCCCATCAGGTCCTTACTCTCTGTGACATGTACTGAGAGTCCCAGAACACGACTTGGTCTCAGGAATCAGTCCCCAGGAAACACCCAGGGCAGAGCCATCTCACTTCCACGGCTTTCCCTGACACTCAGCACTTCCACAGCAGCTCTCTGCCTCCAGCTGCTCTGATGGAAAGGTTCCTATGGACCTCACAGTGCTCACCTCCAGAAGACAATTCCTTTCATGACCATCCCAGAGCCAGCCACATCACTTCCCACAGCTCTGCACTCCTCTCCACTAAATAAAACTCAGCAACAGAGCTTTGGCAAAAAAGTGTTTTTAAGGCACATTCAAACTAATGCAAAAGGACACAATTCCTCCCACTTTCTTTCTCCAGGTGCAGGCTTTGTGCATTAGAGGCCTTACTGACTAGACTGGAAAGTCATAAAACCATAACAAGCTCATGTGCAGCAATCTCACAAGGAACCTCTCTCCCAACCCAATAGCCAAGGCAAACTTCTGGTCTACAGAGGCTACTGCTTCTGCCCCTGAACAGAGCATCAAGGTTAGGAGAAACTAGACACTGGCTATTCATCACAACTGTAGCAGAATCACAGAGGTAATTGGTGGTGACCTTGATAAGGGTGTCTGAGTTTGGGGTAAAAAAAAGTGGGTGCCCCGGGAGGAAACCATCTGAACCTTGAGTAGGACAACAGGGGGCAGCACAGGCCAGTCCCCATAGCTCATAGAAAACATCTCTATGACAGAAATGTGAAAAAACTATCAGAAGTGCATGAAAACTGTTAAATAAATTATAGATTATTTCAAGATTTTAGACAGCATAACCCAGAACAATTAAGAACTCTATTAGCCTAATACCCTACCAAGATTGCTTTTTCACCTTTCCACTGGATTTTCAGAAGTACAGTTTTCCAGAGCTACATTGTGATCCACTACATAGCACATAATTAAACCATTTCGACCATCCAGAAATTTTACAGTGTTTGCTTTAGGAGCTGTTACATCTTTGATAATTGGAACAGGTTTCAGAGGTAGCCAGCCTCTAATATGGCTTGAATGACCCCTGCTTCCTGGTATTCACACTGGCGAGTGAAGGTTTTGGTGGTAGACAGTTGTCACTGAGACCCCAAATTCCCAGCTCAAAGGAGACCAGCAAGACTGGAACATCAGGATAAACTGCACCCGCTTTACGTTTTCTACCACAAACAGATGTTACCCATGGTGCTCACAACATCACCCAGCCACAAATCTCTGTGGGTGGAGCCATCCCAATCTTGATGGAGACAAGAAACAGGGACCGAATACAACTTAAGTGCCCCATGCCTAAGTTTCTGGCTCAGCAGTTGATCAGGCCCCAGCTCTACCCTCTCTTCCAGCCTGACTTATCTGCTGGGTCCCAGGTCACTGAGGGCCTAGTACAGACTCTGCAGGAGGGCTCAATAAACAGCTCCTTCTTGGCTTTCGGGCCCAACAAAAAGCAACAGATAATCTCTTGCCTCTTCCAGCCATCTGAGCGCAAGGCCAAAAAACTTCTGCTTTGAGGTCCTTATTCTTGCACCAGAGTTGGAACTAGGTGATACAGGGGAGGAAGTGCAGGGAGGTGGGCTGGGGATATGTGGATTGTGGCAACTATCCAGACACACCCCAGGAAGTGGAAATGGAGGTGCAGCAGGAGCACAGAGCATCATTACTACTACGGCTCCAACCAGTTGTATGTGGAACTTTGCATGTGGGAAAGCCAAAGAAGAAGGCTGCTGCAAGGGATAGGTGACACATGTCTGCCAGCAGTGACCCAGAGGTGAAAAGAGTCCTAACAGCACCTGGGAAGACTATTACGACATGAGTAAGTCTCAGATCCAAAGGAAATCTTCCTCCGAGGGGAATGCACCTGAAAAGCCAGGAGAGCAGAGTGAGGAAGACACCTGAACAGGGGCGGGGAGCTGGGCTAAGAGACACCTGAGGGCCCAGGAGACAACTCATCCCACCATGATCCCTTTCCATAGAAAATTACTCACATATCCTTGGCCCACGTTCCTACAGCTGACTGTTGCATACCCTGTGGGTAACAATTGGATTCCTTTTTGTGATGCCAAAACTCTTGGCAGCTCTGGTCAGGGTGCTGGAAGACAAGGTGGCAGCACCTGCCCCAAGATCAGGATTGATCACTCAGCAACCACAACACATTTTAACCTGGCACTTCTGGTACAGCTGGCAGTCTGGCTCTGCTCCTGCTATCCATCAATACATAAATGGTGAGTGAGGATCAGTCAACCATTAGGCATGGTGCAGGGCCCTGGAGATACAATGGTGAGAATGACAAATGCCTAATGACCCAGGGTCAGAGAGACCAGCATAGCCATTTGGCAAGAGGTGCACAGGAACAAGTCAGGAAATTTTACTCCTCACACTCTCTTCTCTCCAAAACTGTGGCCACACGGCCATACAAGATGTTCTGACACTTACCGGAGAGGATGCCCCCTGTTGGGCCATGAGATACATCCCATCTCCTGTCTATAAGCTCAAATCAACCCCTCAGGACTTAATGTCTCAATTAAGAGGTAGAATCCAAGTTACCTGAGTATCTTCTCAACTCCCTCTATTAGTGTGATTCACCAGGTTATTTAACCACCCAGTTCTGGAACCTCAAGGAGAAAATCTCACCCAGGCCCACCTGACAGTTCTTAATTTAGGACAGGGATCGTGCATACCATTCTCTAAGCCCAACTATACTTATACCCTCTTCCAAGCTAAACACCTCCAGTTCCTTATCCATCCTCCTCCTAAGGAAGTGAAAACCCATTCAACTCCCAGGATCCTCTCTTGTGGGAATTCTCCTCAGAGGATAAAGGTGGGATCTCTAATGGCCAGATTATCTCTCAACTAACCTCTCAAGTGATGAAGGAAACTGGCCAATTTAAAGAAGACCCCATCCTCCACCCTAGGGAGCTGCCCCATTGAGGCTAAGGCTTAAGAATGTGTTTTCAGGAGAGAATGTGGCCAGTATTTCCACTACACCCACCATTCCTCTCCGGACATTGAGTGTTGGTCAGGACATTGAGTGGGAAGAAAGGCAGAAAACAATACCCAGGCTAGACCATTCTCCCATAACTGGGTCTGTTTCTTCTTTCCATGGAAATTAAATTAGACACTCTCAACCAAGAATGGGGAGTGATGAGCTGCAGAAATTCTGTCCACATAACAGTCTTCAATGGGGCCCCATGACCTGTGTCCATGGNGAGCTGCAGAAATTCTGTCCACATAACAGTCTTCAATGGGGCCCCATGACCTGGGTCCATGGGATAGGAGAGATCAGAGACAGGAAGGATTAGTGACAAAGTCTGTTTTCACCTCTTTATAGTTCTGCTTACTTGTTCCAAATACACTGGCACTGGAAACTGTGACTTCCTTCCAAACATCATGATATTGATAATAAAACTGGCTTTATCAGGGAGTCTTGAGACCACACAGTGAACTCCAGCACATTTGTCTGTGACTCCTCCTCTGAGAACTATTCTTCTGGCTTCTCCTTATCTTCCTGTTACTCTCTTTAACATCTCATGTCCACTTCTTCCCCAATCTCCATGTTGCACCTGCATCCCCAGGATTCTGCAGGTGGCTGAAACTACCAAAAAGTT